TAGGCTCTTTCCATAATTTGGCTATTGTTGAAAGTGCTGCTATAAACATTGGGGTATAAGCGCCCCTAGGCATCAGCACTCCTGTATCCCTTGGGTAAATTCCTAGCAGTGCTATTGCTGGGTCATAGGGTAGATCTATTTTTAATTTTTTGAGGAACCTCCACAGTTTTCCAGAGCGGCTGCACCAATTTGCATTCCCACCAACAGTGCAAGAGGGTTCCCGTTTCTCCACATCCTCTCCAGCATCTATAGTCTCCTGATTTGTTCATTTTAGCCACTCTACCGGTGTGGGGTGGTATCTCAGTGTGGTTTTGATTGGTATTTCCCTGATGAGGAGCGACGTTCAGCATCTTTTCATGTGGGCAATGCCTATATTTCATTGAATGGTTGTACTGTACACTGCTTAGCCACCCTCTCAGGTAGCTGGGATCAGAGCTTCTATTCACAACAGGATTCCAATGTGTCAATGAAGCCAATGGAACAGGCTCTCCAGGGGTCTACTTGCACGAGGGTTTTAAGGAGCTACAAAAAGGAAAGGGGGGAAACCTCCTAAAATGAATAAAAACCTCATTAAAAGAGAAATGTGTCAATGGGAAAAAGGCATTTCCCTTATTTGGGAGTGGATTTTGTCCTACAGTATGACAAATGTCTGGCAGTGGCATCGCTTACTTATAAACTAAAATACTCTAATCCTTAAGATAAATATAAACAAATACAAAAACAACTGCAGATTTAAAAACTAACCAAATTGGGGCACCTGGGTGCCTCAGTTGGTTAAGCGTCTGACATCGGCTCAGGTCATGACCTCGAGGTTCGTGGGTTCAAGCCCCGCTCGGGCTCTGTGCTGACAGCTCAGAGCCTGGAACCTACTTCGGATTCTGTGTCTCCCCCTCTCTCTGCCACTCCCCAGCTCATGCTCTGTGTCTTTCTGTCTCTCAATAATAAATAAATGTTTAAAAAAATTTTTAAACCTGACCAAATTAAGTGAACTTCTCAGGTTTCCTAACTCTCTCTTAAAAGGTCGGAATCAAGCAGTATCTCATGCAGGATCACTTCAGAAAAATGACTAGACTAAAATAACAATGTCGCAAAATGTAAAAGAAACTAGAATAATCTCTCAATATACAAACAAGACCATACAATTAGATTTATTTATGAGGCAGTCCTATAGCACTGACTCTAAGGATGGCATAAGTCCAAAACTCTGAGATATACTACGTATCAAAGGGGGAGAAAAATACCATGAGGCTATAGTTATGTCATGTATCAGTGCTTGTGCATATTCCAAGAAAAAGCTTTCAATTACTTAGAGCTTGCATATTTGGGGAAATTTTCTAATAAACCAGGATTTTTAACAAAAAGCAGATATAAAGTCAACTTTGGTAAGATAAAATTCAAAATTCTTTTTGAAAACTATTTTGAACCCGGCAACTTGTTTTGTATATATTTTAATTATAAGAGTTTTATTTTTTACTTAAAGTTGGAAAATCAGACTATCTTTAAATTTAGAAGACTGCAGGGGCGCCTGGGTGGCGCAGTCGGTTAAGTGTCTGACTTCAGCCAGGTCACGATCTCGCGGTCCGTGGGTTCGAGCCCCGCGTCGGGCTCTGGGCTGATGGCTCAGAGCCTGGAGCCTGTTTCCCATTCTGTGTCTCCCTCTCTCTCTGCCCCTCCCCCGTTCATGCTCTGTCTCTCTCTGTCCCAAAAATAAATAAAAAACGTTGAAAAAAAATTAAAAAAAAAAAAAGATAAAAAATAAATAAATAAATAAAAAATAAAAAAAATTTAGAAGACTGCATTCTCCGATACAGCAAAAACACAAAGATATCAAATTCAAATAATTTGCTGGCACCCAAAAACAAAATGAGTATGGACTTAAGCTCTTTCTACATAGTTCGTTTTATAGTGATTCACCATGAGTAAGCTTTAAAACTCAACGTCTTTAGAATGCTAGTCTTAAAAAAAAAAAAAAATTCTAGGGTCTGCATCATAACTACTACCTTAAAAGAGAAAATCAGAAAAGGTATCACACACCCAATTCCCTTTGTTATTTTTTCACAATGATACAAAGTTACCTTTGTCAGCCTCAGTTTTTTTTTTTTTAAGTTTACTGTAAGTGTCAGCCCTTTGGAATTTATACTGCATTTCCTCATTGACACATTACAAATGATCCTACCAAAGGCTGTTTAGCTTTTAGTGTTACTAATGTGTGGGTGGTACTTACTGAGTCCTCAAATTCTTCATTAGCAGAAAATGTTTCAGTGCATGTTTTAAACATCCTGTATTGCAAAAATTTAGTCAGCTGATTTTGGAAGAACATTCCCCTAGGGAAACATGAGTTGACTCACTGCACACTATTACAAAGGCCTCTCAAATGGTCTCTCACAGCCCCAGTCTCTCCCTCCTATATTCTGTCCTCTACTGCCTTTGCCAGTTATCTTAATCGCAAATCTAGTTATATCACACCCATATTTGAAACCCTTCTTGCCCAAAGAATTTCTTGGTAAAGTCCAAACCTCTTAGCATGAATAGAAGGTGCTCTCCAACTGGTACTAACTTATCTTAGTTTCTTCCTAGCCTCCCTTTCATGTAGACTGCCTGCAGACATTCTCATCATTCCCTAACAAGTCATGTTCTTTCATCCTTCCATATTCTTGTAAAAAGTTTTTTCCCCTTAGAATGAACTCATATCCTTTTCCTTGAACATTCCCTAATGTACATGAGTTCAAATACCACTTACACTATAAAACCTCCCCCGAGATTTTATATATCGCCCAGAAAGTCTTAGCACATTTACTCACCTTTGCCCCTCCATAAGCATTAAGCATGTTGTTCATAGGAGCTCGATAAATGTTGACTAAATTTTGAAAGTATACCCATGCTTAAATGAAGGGACTGGCCATAAATTGTTAAAGCCACAGTTAAAAGCCATAAGGTTTTCCATTCATCTATATGCAGGTATGCAATAATACCTACATTAATATTGGAGCATCTGGGTGGCTAAGTTTGTTAAGTATCCAACTCTTGATTTCGGTTCAGGTCATGATCTCACCGTTCATGGGATCAAGCACCACGCTGGGCTCCAGGCTGACAGCTGATAGAGCCTGCTTGGGATTCCCTCTCCCTCTCCCTCTGCCCCTCCTCTGCTCACATGGGTGCGCATGTGCTCACGCTCTCGCCCATGCTCTCTCTCTCAAAATAAATAAATAAACATATACTATATATAAATAAACATATACTATATATAGTCCTATTTATATTTGCAAATACTGAAAATCATGGATTACTAAAACTCCAGATGGGTAATATACTACACCTTACCTACTGATAAGTGTTAACCATCTAAGAAAAGCACAGCAGAAACAGTCTTAACCAAAAAAGATATGGTGTCTTCCCATTCAATAAAGTTTTAGTATTTAGAGCTTCAAAATTCCAACAATGGGGCAAATTTACTTAATTGGAAAAAAAAAAAAAGTAAGAAAAAAATTTAATTTCCTGAAGGTCAGCAGTCCTACATTGAAATCTTCTATCATCACCTTTGCACAACTCTCAAGGCAACGATTCAGTAAAAACCCTCATTCTCCATACTTTAGGGCTAATAAAGGAAATACAGCCGTGCAAACAATAATTTAACGCAAGAGCCAAAATAAACAAAGAAGTTGTTTCCAGAAACAAGCTAGAGTGTTAGCAATTTGTTTCCACTATGTCTGGGCATCTCCAGTATAAATACCTTACATATTCAAGGGAAGTTTCACAATTCAAAGCCGATCTCACATAAATGATTTAATTCTTACGGTAATCCCGTGAGTTAAGCAGAGCAGGGATTATTTTTACGGATTTAAGACATTATGAACCCAGTAAAACCACAGATAAAAGACTGTTTGGCTATACAAACACAGCACCTCGCTTCCAAAAAGAAGTACTCTTTGCTACAGCAACAAAATGGCCCAAGACAAATGGGCGACCCCCCTTTATTCCATCACTAAATTTAGCTCTGTGAACCTACAAGGGACTCCGCTATTAAAAAGAACGTCAAAATTTCAAATTATGATAACCTAGAGCAAAAGTTCCATCTCCCAGTCTATTTCCGAGTGACATTAACTCTACAAGCAAAACGAAGCTCCATTTCTCAAAGCAGTTCAAACAAGAACACACCCTCGGCGCGCACTCAGACTCCAAAGCTTTCATCCGACTCCCTGAGGTCAGAGTAGGTCCCAGAGAAGTCCCAAGAGAGTCTGGGGGACCCAGTTATGACGAGATGGGGGTGGGGCGCAATGCAAAAAGCTCCGCCGACCAGGAGACGGAGGAAGAGGAACCAGGCAGAATACTGACAAGAAGGGTCTGGGGCTCCAGACCCCGAGCTTCGGGTCTGAGCACTGTCCACACACAAGCTGGAGTGGCTCCGCCTCCCGACCCCAGGTCCAGTCCCCAGCCAGGCCCCTCTGCTCCCAGACACCACAGGGTAACTCCGAGCGTCCCAGCCCTAGAAACAGAAATCTCAGAGGTCCCTGGGGGGAGGCGGACACCCACCTGGCCGAGCCCCACCGAGGACTGGGCCCACCAAGCCAAACAACAGCAGCCACCGGAAGCGGAGGACCCCAAAGGGCGAGTCCGCGCCCGATCCCATCGCGGCAGATTCCGCAGGTTCCACTCAACACTCGGTCGCTTCTGCCTCAGCGTGCTCCATCATTTCCCAACCCAGACGGGGCCCCAGAGCTGGCCGAGATGCGCGCGCCTGGAACGAGCACGCGCTCGGCACTGACGCAACTTGGCTCCAGTCCGAGCTCGCTCCCGGCATCGCGCTCGCTACGCTGACGTAAAGAAAAATCCAGTCGCCGGCGGGAGAAGGGGATTTCTGTCCCAGCAGCTAAAACCCTCACTAGCCTACCCCGCCCATTCACACTAACTGCCCCGCCCACTACCATTTATGCCCCTCCCCCTCCGCTTCCAGGCCCGCCTACTTTGGGCGTAGAAGGACCTAATTGGAGGAAGTACCCGGAGGTGGAGCGCAAGACCCAGAAGCGGAATTGAGGAAAAGCGAAGGGCAGCCCCGCCCGCTGCGCAGCCTTTTCTGATTGGTTTGCGGGCATTGGGCGGAGCACACCCATTGGCTGTTTGGTGGCGAGGAGTGGGGCTACGCGCGGAGAGGCCTGACCTGGCAGGACTACCTTGGGTCGGCTGTGCCGGCCGAGCTTTGCTTTTGAGGTCGGGTCTCTTCCACTGGGCCCGGGAAGATGGTGCTGGGTGGTTGCCCGGTGAGTTACTTACTTCTGTGCGGCCAGGCGGCTTTGCTGCTGGGGAATCTACTTCTGCTTCACTGTGTCTCTCGGAGCCACTCACACAACGCTACCGCCGAGCCCGAGCTCACATCCGCTGGCGCCGCCCACCCAGAGGGCTCCGCCGGCGCTCCGAGCTGGGAATATGGCGACCCCCAGTCTCCAGTCATCCTTTGCTCTTACCTGTAAGCTACCCAGTCGTCGAGGTGGAGATGGGGCCAGGAATATATGGGTGTTGGGGGGGAAGGGAGGCTGCTTTTTTTTCAGACCCTCTTCACCTGAGGACCTGATAGTCAACACGCGGGAGGTAAATACCATGACAGGTTTCTCACTCCTCTCACCCGTGCAGGGGAAAACCTTGTGTGTCAGTGGCAGATCCTTTGGGATCCCAAAAAAGGAAAACTAGGAAGGAGTGACCTCATATAGCCTCCTGAAGAAGGGTACGAGGTTGTGCCTTCTCTATCCTGCTCCCTTTAACTGAAGGAGAATCCGTCGTATGTGCTGGTACTGAGGCACAAATGGAGTAAATTACTTATCCTTGCCTACAAGGCACTTTCTTTTTTTAAAAAGCAATATCCTGTTGCAGAACCAAGTTTTTAACATCTCTTTTTAGTCCATAAGAAAAGGCGTTTGGGAAATGCAAAAGAGAACTGGGAATCCTTTGGCTTCAATTTTGCTCCCATAGCCTTGTGGCTCTTTGCCTAGGGAAGAGGAAGCCTTGGCAGAAGTAGAATCCATGTAGAAATCAACCAGAAACACTCCCTTTCCCCCAATTAAAGGATGGCTGTTTGACCTGCTGTTCTTCAGTCTGATTGACAGCAACTCTCGGGTACAGTCAGAATGAAATTAAACCCTAGAAAACTTGAAGCAATGTCTCTTGCTTGTTTTGTTTATATATACATAAACAGCCATTTGCAAAAACCATATGAGATGGTGATTATGATCTTACTGGTGATTTACAGACCTGATGAATTTATAGAATGTGACGACCCAGTGGATCATGTTGGAAATGCAACTGCATCCCAGGAACTCGGTTATGGTTGTCTCAAGGTGGGTTTTTATTTTGTTTTATAAGCAAACTCTTCCATAGAAAAATAGTACTAGGTAAATGCTGTTATAATAAAAGTATAGGGGTATGAAGTTACCTTTTTGTAGACTCTATTAGAATGACTTACTGGAAATTTCCATCATGGCCAGGGTCATTAACTGAACAAGACATTTCACTTCCTCAGGAAGAAGCAGTGTCTGTGCCAAAACTACCCAGGTGCACAGACTAACCTGTCTTTGATTCTTTGGGCCATTGAGATTGACTGATAGAAAGCTATTAGGTAACCTCATTATCTTTCAAGTGTGCACTTGGCTGAAAGAGCAAAAGAAAGGTTTATGCACTTTCTAAAACCAATAATGGATTGAGCTGTATCTTCATTACACGTGCATTTGGGGCAGTGATCGTTCTTTTCACCAGGCAAGCAGTTGCCATCTACTTCCTGTTTTCTTAGGAAATAGATGGGGTCTATCAGTATATGCCTTTGTAGGAGGTTATAGTATTCAAAGAGAGGCCTTTGGTAACAGTGGCCTCTTGATGGAAAAAAGCCATTCATTTCCATTAATAACATCCTACTTAGTGTCCCCAAAACCAGTCAAGTTCATGTACCTTCCCCTCGTATTATGCAGCATAATGCAAGTCAAGATTCAATCAGGTATAAGAGAGTTATGGGAAAACATTGTTTATACTAAATCAGAGACAAAGGAATAAACCTGAAAGTAGCAAGACCAAAAAAGCAACTCTTACTGCAATCATGTGTAAAGAAGTATTTTCAATACAATGAGATCTTGTTCTATTGATAATTATCAATGAAGGTTTGAGTTAGCATCATATAGAGATCACTTACTTTTGCCCATTTGAATTAAAAACTGAGTTGATCCCGTGAAGGCACTCAAACTGCTACTTTCCCCAGAAGTCCTAGAGAACCAGTACTCAGGCACCTGAATCCCAGGGAAGGTATGATTTCCAAGTCCCTTCCCTTTGAGGATGCTCCAATGAAAATACTAGTGAAGTACTTAATAAGGTGCCAGGGGAGAATGTACAGCTGTGCTTTCTCTACTAGAGTTCAGTTACATAAATGGTAACAGGTCCTGTTCTGAAATTTTTTTGCTGTAATTTAAACTAATAAAAAAATGTACTGTAGATATTTGATAATCACACATTCATGACCTAAATAGAATTCTGAGTCAGCTGATATTCTGAGTTTTTTCCTAATTATGTTCATTTATAATATATAAAGCAGACTTCTAATACACATTGACTTTTTAAATACCCATTTCCAAATGCTCCAGAATATGTTCTTTTTCCTGTAAATATAGGATAATTAAAGCATTGTGTCCATCTGTTCTAAATGGCATTTAATGAAACTGATTGTAACGGTTTTTACTATATTATTAAAGAAGCCAGTCACAAAGAAGAAAAAAAAAAGTTTACTTAAAACAATGCACAATTATGGTGGAATAGTTTAAAATCCCCTTGAATCACTAAATTCCTTGCTCTTGAACACAGCTTTACCCCAACTTTGTTAGTATAATTATTGTCCTGAGTCACCTTTTATTAATGAATATAAAGATATATTTTGTATTTACTTGCTTTGGTGAGTTTGGATTATTTGTTTTGGTTGTTATGGCACAGTTTGGTGGTCAGGCCTACAGTGACGTGGAACACACTTCAGTCCAGTGCCGGGCCCTAGATGGGATCGAATGTGCCAGTCCTAGGACTTTCCTACGAGAGAATAAACCTTGTATAAAGTAAGTGTTACTTTGAATGGTTTGGTTGGTACTTAGAGGTACAGCTGTTTTTCTTGTCATCTCTTGATGTGACTTTTTCTTTTAAGTGTTAAATGGGGCACCTGGGTGGCTCAGTCAGTTAAGCATCTGACATCCGACATCGGCTCAGGTCAGTGATCTCACAGTTTGTGAGTTCAAGCCCTGCATCAGACTCTGTGCTGACAGCTCAGAGCCTGGAGCCTGCTTTGGATTCTGTGTCTCCCTCTCTCTGCCCCTCCCCCACTCTCTCTGTCTCAAAAATAAAACATTTTTTAAAAAGTGTTAATTAGGGGCGCCTGGGTGGCTCAGTTGGTTGAGCGCCCGACTTCAGCTCGGGTCATGATCTCACAGCCCATGAGTTTGAGCCCCCACATCAGGCTCTGTGCTGACAGCTTGGAGCCTGCTTTGGATTCTGTGTATCCCTCTCTCTCTGCCCCTCCCCCACTCGCATTCTGTCTCTGTCTCTCTCAAAAATAAATAAATATTTAAAAAAAAATTTTTTTTTAAAAAGTGTTAAAGGGGCAACATGATTACTACTGTGCATAATCCATGGACAGGGGCAATGTGGTTATAAACAGAGAGGACCCTAGACCAGAGGCCAGAAGTTTTAAATGTCTCTTTCATCAACTAGCTAAGTGCCTTTGGATGCCCAGAGACTAAATCCCTCCCTAACCTACAGAATAAAGGAGTTGGACTAGATGATCTGGTGCCAAAATTCTTATGATAGGTATAAATCCTGTGAAAATAGCCTTAGTATTTCAGGAGTAAAGGTTTTATTATGAAAAGTGTGGGTTTCTCTCCTTGAAATAAGTTTATCTTAAAGAATTAGGGTCATTTCTGTAAATTTTGCTTGAAGGCACAGAATGTACATCATTTGCTAATGAAGAGTCTGTGATGTTTAGTGATATTAGGGCAACTGCAATTGAGTGTCATTGCAGTATGTAAGACCCAAGTCCTTATTGAAGAAACCTCACTTTTAGTTGCCACAAAACAGCAGAAGGGTATACGGAGATCAGTGTTCACCTGATGAAACACGACAGCACTTCTTTAGAGAACTGTATTCAGAAATAACAGCCTCAGGAGCCTGCCTGTGTCAGGGAAGGATGTGGGCCCAGACTCCCCTCTACCAGACTGTCTAACAGAGCAAATGTGCTTGACTGTTTCTTGTCTAATCCAAATCCGTATTTGTTCCTATAGGTCCTGGGTAGTGCTCTTTTACGACACTAGACCAACTAGAGATTTTCTTCAGGTGGGGGGGTATATCCGAGGTCACAGAGAAACTGCTACACTATCTCTTCACTTATGTTAAGTTCATTAATCATTAAATGTTTTAATTTTCATGTGGTAAACATCTTCCTTTTCATTCCTTCTGTCTAGATATACTGGACACTACTTCATAACCACTTTACTGTACTCTTTCTTCCTGGGATGTTTTGGAGTGGATCGTTTCTGTCTGGGACACACTGGCACAGCAGTAGGGAAGCTGTTGACACTTGGGGGACTTGGGATTTGGTGGTTTGTTGACCTTATTTTGCTTATTACTGGAGGGCTGATGCCAAGTGATGGCAGCAATTGGTGCACTGTTTACTAAAAAGAGCAACCGTCATGGCCCAGAGAGGCACGTCTTCTGAATTCATCTCTACAGGCTCAAAACTCTTCCTTGATGCCAGACCTGACCATTACTTTCCCTCTTTGGAGGGAATGGGTTTGGTTAGGAAGGTTTCTCTGGACTCCGGGTTTTCAACCCAAATTTTACCTTGCAGACTAGAAATGACAAACCAACAGTGTTTGGGAATCAAGTGTGTACCTTTCCTCATGTACAAAATATAAAGGATAGTGACTAACTTATAAGCTGCAGAGGGGTTTGCGTGCTCTTTATTTCTGTACATTGCTGTATCTTTAATACTTTGGAGCAAGTGGACCCAACAAGATGAGCAAGTGAACCTTGTGCCTTTTGTGACCCTAAATCTTCACGCAGAAGAGATCTGAAGCTGAACCAGTGAAAATCTTCAGCAGAAGTAAAATGGCCATGGATTTTAATACACACTGAAATTCTGACTTTCTGATTTTAAATTGCAGAATAAATTTTGCCAACCTGGAATGCTGTTTGGTACTTTCAGTAGGTAGAATGAGACTCAAAATTCTGTTTGTTTTGCCAAAAGCTAGGCATATAAAATGAACCACTCTGTTAATAATCCTACTGTTACATCACTATTTTGCCCCAGAGGCAGTATATACAGTACAATAATTTCTTCATTTCAATTATATTTTGAAAGCCCAACAATATCAGTCATGTCTGGGTTAAGCTATCCTCTTGGCTATCCTATCCAAAAATTAGTTATTCACTAGTTTAGAGAGCCTACGTTTTAGGCTGGTAAAAAACATATCATACACCTAACTGTAAAACTATTCTTCACAATTATGTAAGATAAGGTGAAAGAAAAACAGATGCTTAAAGGACAGAATTACTGAGTACTGGGTAGAGTTAGGATGTGATTTATGGGGACAAAGAGAAACTGAACACATTCTGTCAAAATAAGTGTGGTTCCAGAAGCTCTCACTGTGGGCTATAGTAGTCAGTAGGGAAAGAGACAACCAGGCTTTTGCATTCCCAAATCACGGGGAATAAAAGGAAATGTTCTGAATTATAAGTGGTTTTAAAAGCTTAGCTCCCATCCTTTGCAATTTATGTTGAACTGCTAACTACAAAGTAAAAGGAGGACTTTGTGGACAAACTAAGAGCCTGATATTCAGGATAAATTCTAGAAACAATCAAGGTAGAAGTACTCAAAGTTTAGTCTCATAATAGTTGACTTAAAGACCAAGAATCACAGTTAAAAAAAACTCTGGATATGTTCCATCATTGTGAATCAGCTTTTCTAAAAGTTTCAGCTTTATTATCCCTGATAAATATGCTCACTGTACTTCTATTCTTAAATGGTAGCAACTGTGAAAAATTAAAACAGATTATTCTGTCTTGAAAGTTCTGTGCCACATTGACCTTAACCTTGTTGTCTACAATAGTAATAATTGGTAGATTCTTATTCATAGTCTCTATACTATAAGTATATAGTATTTTTTAAATTGTTGTAGGTCATGAAGAAACTAGACCCCCTCCCCAGGAAAAAATGCACATAAACATAAAATTCTGCATAGAATTTAAGGAGACACTGTATTAAAAAAAATAACTACTAAGAGAAATCTGGAAAACAAACTAAAATTAAAATCTTACCAAAAATAAGATACTACTCTAAGCCACAAGTCCTGCCTCATCTCACACTTTTTAAAAAAATCTCAGGATATTCACAAACCCCCACCAAAAGCGACTTTCTTTAAAAACAACACTTTGGCAACTTTCAGACTCAAAATCATTAATGTTGCCAGGAGGATGAGCTTGGGTAAAAAGGTAAAAATCCGTAAGTTATTGAAGTATCTGTCTTATAAAAGAAGCCCTTCTCACAGTCAGAAAAGCTTTTGGAGACCACTGTCAGGGTGATCATGAGAATCTTTAATATTCTCTGTGACACTCTGCAGTTGCCAGTGTCAGTTTGACTTGCAAATGATGCCCATCCTCTGCATCTATAAACCCTGGCCAAATATGATACAACCTGAAAAACTGGGAAAAGGAGTATTATTAACAATTGGATTTCCTTTGCACTCTGGATTCAGGTTGTTTCTTCATATTTGGTGTGTGTGTGGATGTTTGTGTTATATCCAGTTTGTAGCTATAGAGAAGTTTTAAAGTCCTAAAGCGGCCTTCTGTCAAGGTTAAATTAGAAACTGTGCCTGTCTTTCAGTTGTTTCTTTGTTTAAATAAAATGTTATCAGTTCCCAGACTTCCTGGCACCATGTCCTTCACTTGCTTTAGTAAGGCTTCTTAGCAACCAACAGTAGAGCACCCCAACCAAAAGGTCCCTGAATGTATGTGTGTTTTAAAGCATTCATTTTTCTTTGTAAGAAAGAGAACCTAAAACTTGCCATCTTTGGTACATCTTCAATACAAACCAGGTAATATAGCTTTGGTTTTGTTAGATAATTTCTCTTTAAGGCAAGATATTTAATTGATTATTTCAGGTGTGACTGTCAGGATCAGAGTTTGACTTCCCCGACGAACCATCATGGAAAGGGAATCACTGTCCTTAACAGCTTGAGTAACATCAGTTGTGGTGGTAACAGGTTGCCCATTTATGCTGACAATTACATCGTGGTCTCTCAACCCAGAGCTGGGGGGGGGGGGAGAAAAGAACCATGAAACTGTAAGTTTTGCTTGTCCCCATCCAGAATTTAATGTCATCTCTTGGCATTATTTTGCTGTCATTAAACATACAACCAGGAAACCAGAAATAGCCTCAATCCTTCCAAATATGAGGACTATCCTAAGATAGTCCTGGGGACTATCACCTGGGGACAACAGTCTTACTTACCTTTATAAAGTCAATACTCTAACAATCATGTAAAAAGTTTACTCCTCCCGTATATTGGATTTGGCTTGGAATAGGGAATTTAGCTTTTGGTTTTTATCATTCTCTGACCTCTGTAAACCTCAAGCAAAGATGAAGCAATATATTTCCAAGCAATATACATTTTTCCCCAGACAGTTGTACTCTATCAGTTTGGTTTTGACAGCCCACTTGTCCCATCTTCACCCATGGTTGTGGAAGTAGACTGTGCTGAGCTGCATGGTGGCTCTGCTTTCAGTTAGTCAAAAACCAGTCACCCCTCCAAGTCTAAATATTTAAGGTTCTGGTTGTAGGCTCCTTTTCCCCAAAGCTGTGATTACATTCTGTCTCCAACACGTTTGCTTCACATAGAGTATATAGTCTAGAAACAAAAAGCACCTCCAAACACAAAACACTGCAATAATATATGGCCATGCTGATGATTCCTCTTAAAGTCAGTAATAGGCTGGAAGAGGCTTATCAAATGAAATGACTCCAGGAGACACCATTTTAAAGAAATGGAAGGGGTGCCTGGGTGGCTCAGTCAGACCAACTTCGGCTCAGGCCATGATCTCATGGTTGGTGAGTTTGAGCCCCACATCGGGCTCTGTGCTGACAGCTCAGAGCCTGCTTTGGATTCTGTGTCTCCCTCTCTCTCTGCCCCTCCCCCACTCATGCTGTCTCTCTCTGTCCCAGAAATAAACATTAAAAAAAATTTTTTTGATAAAAATTAAAAAATAAAAAAGATATGGGAAGTCAAAGGAAGGATGTGGGAGGATTACCAAGAATGTGGAATTTTTTTTAATAGAAATTTAAAGCAAGAGGCTATGAAAAGAAGTTTGAGGGCAAAGCTAAAAGTATGGAAAACCTTTAGAACAAGGACACCTCAGGAGGATGACTGGGGCAGTGTACAAAGAAGAAACTTAATTCGTTATAGTTCTGTGAATAGAAAAAAAAGATAAACCTGCCAGTTATTAGTGTAAACTACACACCAAAATGAGGGAGTGAGGCTTAGCCAGGATAAATGATCTTTCCCATGTCCCACAGCTTGGAAGAGACTAAAGGATTTGATCCTGGGTCTTTCAGACTTGAAAACCCACCTGGCTACTCACTCTGCCTCTCAGAAACAAGAGAAGGAGCTACAAAACGGGATAATCCAGGGGTTAAGCCAGATTCCACATCCCTGCTCTCTGGATAATTATGTACCTCTCAAGTAATTACCTCTCTGTACCACAGCTGCCGTTTCTATAAATTAATGCCTATATCATAAGACTATTGGGGGCTCAAAAAAGTATGTAGAACACTTAAAATGATGCCTGACATAGTGGTTAATAAGTGCCAGCTGTTATTACTGTAATAATTGTGATTATTATTAGATATAAGTGGGGGAAGCCAGAAATAATAGATTTCTGGTTTATCGGTGACTTCAAGCAAGTCCCATATTTTAATGTTCATCCAAATCACCTGCAGCTCTTGTTTAAAATGCAGATTCTGGGACACCTGAGTGGCTTCATTTGGTTAAGCATCTGACTCTTGATTTTGGCTCAGGTCATGATCTCACGGTTGGTGAGATCAAGCCAGGAGCTGGGCTGCATGCTAACAGCATGAAGCCTGCTTGGGATTCTCTCTGTCTCTCTCTCTCTCTCAGAATAAACATTTTTAAAAATAAAAATAAAATGCAGATTCTGATTCAGTGGTAGAGCCTGTCGTTCTGCATTTCTAAAAAGCTCCAGGTGATGCCAATGCTGCTGGTCTACAGACCACATTTTGAGTAGCAAGGACTTGGAGAGCTGAAAGAAATAGCTTTGGCCTTGAGCCAAAAGTTAAAAATAAAGGGGTGGGGGGAGGGCAGGAAGCAAGAAAGTTTAGAAAAGCCTATGACAAGCCAAATTTAGTAACATGAGACCTACTACTTAGCTATTCTGAACAGTTAGTACCCTGTGGTTTCTTTCCCCTAGTAAAGGAGTTCCCATAGTCTAAAAAGGTGACTGAGCTCTTGAAAACCAAAAATAGTGAGAAAGGGATATTGAAGAAGTATAAGAGAGAGACTCAGGAAAATAACTGTAGGACAAACCACCTCTTCCCTCAGTAGTTAGTATAAATGTTTAAAGACAAGAGTAAAATCAGCTGAGCACTTCTTTGATAAGCTATTCTAGCCTTTGCTTTATTTACATTCATTCATTCAGTGCTGGCCTCTGATACGGTCTTCCAGAGTTCAAAGAAAAAAGTGTCTGAAAGTACCTAAAATATATTATTAAACCATTAGTCCTCTGAATTCTTCCTGTTCTTAATAACTAAGGTATCGAAAGAGTAGATTTGAGAATTCCTAGCAAAATTAATTTAAGCTTATGCTATTAACTCATCATGAATTCTTGGGCTACAAAGAACCATCCCCTTCCCAAAAGAAGTCCTTCCAAACACAAGTATTCAAAAGTCTAAATCCACACTGTCCAATAGAAACGTAAGGCAAGACACATACATAATTTTAAATTTTCTGGTAGGCATATTTTTTTTTAACTTTTTTAATTTTTAGAAATATCTTTAAAAGTAGATGAAACTAATGTTAATAATATACCTATTTGGGGGCACCTAGGTGGCTCAATCAGTTAAGCGTCCACCTCTTGATTTCAGCTCAGGCCATGATCTCACTTGTCATGAGATCGAACTCCACGTCAGGCTCCGCGCTATCGGCGCAGAACCTGCTTGGGATTCTCTCTCTCTCTTCCTCTCTTTCTGCCCCTCCCTTGCACGTGCTTCTGTGTGCATGTTCTCTCTCTCAAAGTCAATAAACATTTAAAAAATATACCTATTTTAGCTCAATATACGTATTATCATTTTAACATGTAATTTTTTTAATTATTAAGTTATTTTCCACTGTTTCATATAAGTCTTTGAAATCCACCAGAAACAACACACACCTGTTATGCTACTATACAACATCTTACACAATGCAGTGATTAAGGTATGAAAGGCAGTCCTTCCAAAACAAAAGGTATGTTTAATGGAAAAATATTTTACATCCATTGCCTCTTTTTTTATTTAAATAAAATTAAAGAACATTCAGTTCCTCAGTCACACCAGCCACATCTGGGTATTTAACAGTCATGTGCGGGGAGGGCCACTGTACTGAACAGTGCACATCTCAATCCAACACACATTTTACTACGGCACATAGCTGCGCTCTTACCTTTCAGCAGCTGTTCCTTGAATCACCTCATACACAAAAACTCCAGAACTCACATCAGGGAAATCTGGATCTTGCCTTTTCATCTCATGAAGAAGGCTAAGAAAAGTGAGAAGAGTTTTCCCGGAAGGTTAAGAAACACAATGACTTAATAATCTTCAGAGCCCTGGCCAAAATCTCCAACTCAGTAGGTACTCTTATCTGTTCTACTCAAGGCTCCAAGTGGCCAGGGAGAATTCCATCAAGCCGGTCACAGTTATTCTTCCCCGGGGGTGGTCTGGTTCTCTGCCGAAGCCTGGGACCATGGGACATTATAAGGTAGAGCCACAGAGAAAGAAGCTACTGAAACGTTCAGCAAATACTGGTGCCAGCAGAGGCACCTACTCTGTGACAACGAGGCTCTGCAGTCACAAGAGTAGCTAGTTGTGGTCCAAATGCTTTAGATCGCCTGTTAAGACTGTCCAGCTGTGACTTTTGCTTCTGAAAAACAACCCAGACACATTCAAACCCACGCTTACTTCATAGTGAGAGGCAGCATCCGCAGACCGAGATACTTCTTCTGTGAAAGAGCTTTTCCTGGAAAGGAAAATTAGGAAAATTAACAACAAGAATTCCTTCCTTTGGGCAGAGCATAAAAGACACCAAGTCATGGATTATCCTTACTATTATTATAACTGCCTTTTCAGGGGCGTCTGGGTGGCTCAGCCGGTTAAGTATCCAACTCTTGGTTTCGGCTCAGGTCATGATCTCATGGTTCATGGATTCAAGTCCTGGGTCAGGCTCTGCATTGACAGTGCAGGGCCTGGGGTGCTCTCTCTCTCCCTCTATCTCTGCCCCTCCCCTGCTCATGCTGTCTCTGTCTCTCCCAAAATAAGTAAATAAATGTAATAATAACTGTCTTTTTGGGGTGTCAGCAATGAAAATGCTTCAAAGAATCTTTGTCACTAGCATGAACACTCCTCCCATCCACTCCCATTTCTAGCCCATGGGTTTCCTTTCCACCACAATTCACATATTTCTGGGGACGATACATGCCTGTCTTTGTGCCTTGTCTCCCAATATTGCCACTCAAGCTAACGTGATAAGAGCTGGGTATTAGTGACTCAGTATTCTACAGAATTCCTAATGGCAGTCTCTACGATAGATTGAGTGCTCCTGAAAAACACAAGAAAGGAAGAAAAAGTCCTAACTCCCCTCACCTTTCAACTGGCGCTCATGGAATTCTGCCAAGAACTGTCGAATTCGATCTGAGGGAATTGCGAAGGAGATTCCCGCGGTCACCTTGAGTGTATTTATGCCAATCACATCACCATCCTGGCAAGGGAGGAGCCATCATTAGGTCTCCAAGTCATGCAAACTGATAGGTGCAAAACTAAAACCAGCAGAGGAGAGAGTAAAGCCAGTCACTGAGGGTCAGAACACAGAGGGGCTAGAGGAAAGCAGACTTCAACAGAGAGCAGCAGATGTTACCTTACGGGACACACAGCATTGTAGGAAAACCAGGGGATGGGGGATACCTACCCATGTGCAAATCCCTACTGAGGACATTTTTTAAAATCTTGAGCTCATTTTTTCCTTCGCCAAACTGATTTTAAAAGTGAACCACAGTTTGTATTTTGCAGGGATAAGAGGACAGGGAGTATTTGCCTTTTCTGCTTAAATGAAACTAAAAAAAAACATGGAAAAGGCAACACTTCAGTGAAACTATTCAGGATTAGCTAATTGACCTTAGAGAACAAAGCTCTACAAGGCCGAAGCTGAGAAGTGGGAAACACTTTCCTCTTGGTGCACTTCATCATCCTTTAGCCTTTGTTGAGTAATGGCAAGGGTAGAAAAGAGACTTCTGATCATACTAAAATATGTATTATAGGGGCTCCTGGGTGGCTCAGTTGGTTAAGATCCAACTTCGGCTCAGGTCATGATCTCACAGCTTGTGGGTTCAAGCCCCATGTCAGGTTCTGTGCTAACAGATCAGAGCCTGGAGCCTGCTTCGGATTCTGTGTCTTCTTCTCTCTCTGCCCCTCCCCTGCTTGCTGTGCTCACACTCACTCTCTCTCTCTCTCTCTCTCTCTCTCTCTCTCTCTCTCAAAAATAAATAAACATTTTAAAAAGTACATATTATAATTCAGTAGGTCTGGAATGTGACCTGAAAATGTGCATGTCACCCTCCTCTAGTAGACTCATTGTCTACAGGAGAAAGCAGGTGCAAAAAATTACATGCATTGCTAAGCAAAAAGGGGCTCAGTAATTTCACATACAATTCATCCTCCAAAAAGTAAGTGTAATGTGTAAAGAACCAAAAACAATCAGCTCAAAGGGACTCAGAAAGCATGATCACAGACTGTCTCAAACAGCACTACACTCTCATGCTTTCCGCACATAATTGAGCAACAAGAAACTCCCATTTCCACTAGAGATGCTGAATGAAACTAAAGAAACATGACAGAACAATGGATTCTTACTGTGGCTTTTCTGTCATCTCTATCAAGACTAAATTTAACCCTGAACAGACTACATCATGTAGTTAGCATCTTGGGATCAGGAACAGTTCTTCATACGCAGCAGCAGAGGGGTTTCAAGGATAAACCCTACATAGTACTGTTGGTCATTTAACATCTATTTTAGTTTAGTGCCCAGGACTTGTGTTAACTACACGATGAAGACAGAAAGCATGCTCAAGAGATGTCAGTAAGCATAAGTAAACCCTAGCACTCTCAGTTTGATGAAATCACATGCCAGGAGGATAAATCCACTGTAGATTTAAATTTCTGCTAACTGGTTACTTAAACGATGCAATAACAGAAAAGCATCTTACTACAAATCTCTACACAAGGGTGACATCCTAGTCTGCATCATGGAATTTGTAAAGTCTTTGAAAGTGAGGAAGAGACGTGAAGCAGCAAGGAAAGTGGTCACTTACCAAGTTCACCAGAGGTCCCCCAGAATTCCCATGCTGAAGACAGAAATTTGGAAAAGTCAGTACTTTTCTCCTTGTCATTTATACATGGTTCCTAAAGAGGTTTACCAAAAGCAGCCTACGCCGGTGAGTGCCTGTTCCTCCTAGATAGGCAAAGCCGTGCCCCCGTCATCACCAACGCTGAAGTCAGTGCCAATGAAGGACAACAGCAAAAGGACCACCACCTTCTACAGCAGGGGATGACCCCTATGACAGACCTAAGAGGCTACCATGGATGCCAATTATCACATCAAACAGGCTGAACTCTAACAACATGGCATGCTATCCCTCTCGTGAGGATCTAACTGTACTCTGGACATCCCCAACAGGCCAATGGGAAAAGAGGGCATTCTTACATGTCCTTCTCACTGCCCTGTCAGTACCTAACGGATTGAGGATGGCCCTCCCAAGTGACTTACGTTAATTATGGCATCAGTCTGGATATAGTCCATGTTCGAATCCTTCAGCCCCAGCTCTTTGCCCCCTCTCTGTGTAGTGCTGACAATTCCTGCAGTCACCGTGTTCTGCAGAGAAAACGGGCTGCCCAAGGCCACCACGAACTCTCCAGCCCACAGGTCAGATGACCTTCCCAGCAGCAATACAGGAAGGTCAGTCTGCACAAGACCAGAAGGGATGGGAAGGACAGAGAGGTGAAAAACAAATCAAGAACAGAATCAACCAGTATTTGTGTTCAACACACATATGACACCGTCTCTATCATTTGGGCAGTTAAAATCCAAGAATCACCTACCCACCCACATACATTCTACAAGTGCCTGATGCTTCTTCCTCAAATTCCAGCAACCACCAAACTCTCTCACTTGATAAGATGATCAGTATCATCTCTAAAATCTAAAACTATTGCTTTGTAGAAATTACTATAACTAAACCACCAGTGAAGTAGCTGATGAACATAAACTGACATTAGCGACTTAGCTCGATTCCAGCTCAAAGGTTCCTAGTCAAGGTTAAGCCACAAACAGAAAGGAGATCACCCAGAGCAGTGCTTCTCAAATTTTAACGTGCACACAAATCACTTGGGGATCTTATTAAAATGCAGATTCTGGGGCGCCTGGGTGGCTCAGTCAGTTAAGCGGCCGACTTTGGCTCCGGTCATGATCTCACGGTCCGTGAGTTTGAGCCCCGCGTCGGGCTCTGTGCTGACAGCTCAGAGCCTGGAGCCTGTTTCGGATTCTGTGTCTCCCTCTCTCTGACCCTCCCCCATTCATGCTCTGTCTCTCTCCGTCTCAAAAATAAATAAACGTTAAAAAAAAAAAATAAATTTAAAATGCAGATTCTGATTCTGTAGCCCGGGGTGGGATCTGAGATTCTGCATTTCTAAAACATTCTCAGATAATGTCAATGCTGCTGAAGTGCAGATTACACTTTGTGTAGCAAGCACCTCAAAGTATTCCTCAGCAGCTTTGAATCCATTGCAATCATTCCTAGTATGCTAAGGCAAGCAGAAACAAAGCTTCCCAGAAGCAGCATCTGTTGAAAAAAGAGGTAAAGGAGGCTGGATAGTTAATAGAAATTGTTAGGGATATACAGACGGGCAGAGAGGAAAATAAACAAAAGAGGAGTGAAAAACAGGAAAAAAAAGAAACCAGAAAAGAGCATATACCAGGTAGAAAAGATGTGTGGGAGTGGGGTGGGAAAGAAAGTATCAGCAAATTGATGAAAATCCCCAGCTGTACAGACTGATTTGGCCCTTGCATACTCACGTTTGGCTCAATCTTAATCAGCGCAAGATCCAATTTATGGTCAATGTCCTTGACAGTGGCTTCATACTGGACCCCACTCTGGAGCTCCACCTGGATCCGCTGCTGGTTGGTGAGGACGTGGGCATTGGTAACAATGAGCCCATCCTCAGACACTATGAACCCAGAGCCACTGGATGCAGGAATATCCTTGCTGCTAAGAGGTGACCTGTCTCAGCAAGACAACGGCATAAGCAGAGGGCAGGAAAATTAGGGGATCTATCACAGTCTGGGGACATGGGAACCTCTCATTTATCAAGCATACTGCCACCACCGTTTTCTCAGACATTTTACTTTCTCCTGTTTTCATGCTCTCCATGTGTAATTGGACTCTGCATGTTCAATGCCTTGGCCATCTCTTAGGATCACGAATGAGAGCTGATTCCAGCTCCCCTTTTCCAGGGACCACCTCTGACCCCCACCTTCAGCGATGGTCAGAGCAGCAACCCTCTGCTTCAGAGACCTAATCTAATCATGCTACTGGGGCCAAACGTGGATCCCACGTTACTAAGTGCCACATTACTGAGGACCCAGGCAGGGAGAGAGTGTAAGAGAAGGCTGGTTCCAGCTTGGATCCACTACTAACTGGTCTTGTCACACATGATTCCTTTCCATGCAAACGAGCAGCCTGAGCAAAATCACCATCAGGATGCCTTCTAGCTCTTACATCTGACTCTCAGATTTTGTCTGTGGGAGATGAGAGAGGGAGAAACCCCAGGCAACTAAGTGCAGAGGAATGGCCCAGATTTGGAAGTCAGGAACCCTACGCTTCCGCTCTTTGGCTAAACCACCCTGAACAGATTACTCAACCTGTTTTGAGCTGCGATTTCCTCACAGCAGGTTTTATGACTAAACGATGCTTGTAAAGCGGTAGCGCAAGGACTTAAGTGGGCAGGCGCTCATGAACAGACCGCTGGGCAGCTGGCGGCCGCCTCTTGCCTCCTTTACCTGCGGAACAGCTGCAAGTGAACCACGGATGGCGCCACCTTCTCCACCACGGCGGCGATGAAGTTGTACTTGCTCCTGAGCCGGCCTACACTCCTGGTCCCTGAGAAGAAATGCTCCATGCTTGGGGGCGGTGGGCGTCCCGCTGCCTGACCGCATCTGGTGTCCTATCCCCAAACTCCTGGTCTCTCTCCTCCTCCAGTTCCCTTTCCCTCCCCTTCCTCTCTTCGGGCTCCCCTTTATGTTCACGGCCATCCCGTAAGGATACGCCTTGAGGAAAACAGCTGTCATCCCATCCCGGGTGGGGGAAAAAAAAAAAA